TATCAGTGGTAGAGCCCAGATTGGAAGTAAGTTGAAGTGAGGAAAAATAATGGCAAACATTCTTTAATAATTAGAACATGAAATATATGCAGCTTGAATGTTTGAAAACTAAATATTAGGAAAAAGATGAAATGGAATTCATGAACATTGGCATTTTAGGTATTAGTAAGACGAGATGGACTAGCTTTGGCCACTTTGAATCAGGTAATCAGATAGTATACTATGCTTGGAATGAAAAAACAAAATAATGTTGTTGCATTTTTGGTCAATTTCAAATTCTACCCTGAAATACAACGTTATGAGTGATAGGATATTGTCCATATGTATGCAAGGAAGGTCTGTTAATATAACTATTATTCATATATGCACTGCTACATTTAGAGCCAAAGAAGAAGAAATTGAAAATTTTTACCAAATCTTGCAATCTGAAATTTACCGAACATGTACTCAAGATATGCTAATGGTAATTGGTGACTGGAAAGCAACAGCTGGAAACAAGAAGGAAAAGTAGCTAGAAAATATGGACTTGGTGATACATTTGAGGCTGGAAATAGAATAAAATTTTGTATTTTCACTAATGTATTCATTGCAATGACCTTTTTTAAAAAAACACAAATGGTGACTTTACACATGGACATTACTTGATAAAATGCATAAGAATTAGATTGACTACATCTGTGGAAGGAAGCATTGGAGAAGATCAGTATCAGCAGTCAAAACAAGGTTAGGAATAGACCATAAATTACTCATGTGCAAATTAAAATTGAGGCTGAAGAAAAGGAAAACAAATCCACGGGAATGAAAATATCTTGAATCTATTCCATCTGAATTTCAAAATCATCTTAAGAGTAGATTTGAAATATTGAACACCAATGATCAACCAGATGAGTTGTGGGATGATGTCAAGGATATCATCCATGAAGAGAGCAAAAGGTCATTACAAAGACAAAGGAGAAAGAAAGAAAAAAAACAACCTGAAAATGATGTCAGAAGAGACTCTGAAAATTGCACTAGAGCATTGTGAAGCCAAAACAAAGGGGAAACATGCTGAAGTAAAAGAGCTGAACAGAAGATTTAAATGGCAGCTTGAGAAGATAAAGTATTATTATGGAACATGCAGAGAGCTGGAATTGAAAAATAAGAAGGGAAGAACTTACTCTGCATTTCTCAAGCTGAGAGAACGGAAAAACAAATTAATCCTCAAGTTGGAATATTGAAAGATGCTATCGGCAATATGTTGAATGACCTAGGAAGTATTAAAAAAAGATAGAGGGAATATACACTGTACCAAGAAGAACTGACTGACGTGGAAAAATTTCAAGAAGTACTATATGAGCCAATGGTAATGAAGGAGAAAGTGGAAGCTGCATTGAAGTAACTGACAAAAATAAAGCCCTGGGAATCAATGTGATACCAGTTGACTTGTTTCAACTAAAAGATGCAGCTCTGGATGTGCTTACCAGTCTATGCCAGGAAACCTGAACAACAGCTGTCTGGACAGTGAATTTGAAGAAGTCCATATTTGTTCTCATTCCCAAGAAAGGTGATCCAACAGAATATGAAAACTATAAAACAGTGTCATTATGACTTTATGATCATTAATATAAACTAATATAATGCAACCAAAATCCTGCTGAAGATCATTAAAAACAGAACAGTGCATAGATAGGAAACTGCCAGAAGTTCAGGCAAGATTTAGAAGAGACTGTGGCACTAGGAAAATCATGCTGATGTCAGATAGATCCTGGTTGAAAGTGAAAAATACCAGAAGAATGTTTCTTTATGCTTTATTGACAATACAAAGGCATTTGACTGTGTGGATCATGACAAGTTATATCTATCATTGAGAATAATTGAAATCCCAGGGCACTTAATTGTGCTCAAGGGAAACCTTGACCAAGAGGCTATTGTGAGAACAGAGCAAGAGAACACCTATTCAATATGTATACTGAGAAAATTATTCGAATAGCTGGACTCTCTGAAGAAGAATGGCATTAGGATCAGAGGAAGACTCATCAATAAACTCCTTTATGTAGATGACACAACCTTGCTTACTGAAAGTGAGAAGGACTTAAAGCATTTGTTGCAGAGGATCACAGAGTACAGCCTTTAATATGGATTGCATCTCAGCATTTAAGAAAACAAAATTATGCTGAGTGAAATATTTCAGTCACAAAAGGACAAACACTGCGTAGTGCCACTGCTGTAGAATGGGACTGACATCAGGGTTGGGGTAAGAATGAGAAAAACTGCATGAAGTATGTATACTGCATTGAAATGGATGAGGGAGAGAACAGTTTAAAAGCAATATATTATAGAGTATTATGATTATCATAAGAGTCGGGAATGAAGGACTGGAGAGTTGCAGAGTGGAGTATACTTGGGGTGGGGGGTGTTGTGCCAGGGGATTGTATACCAATGAAGGAATTTTTCTTTTACTTTTCAAAGAGAAGAGCAAGCTGGGGGTGGGGGTGGGGGTGTGGGGAGAAAAGTGCAACAATGAATGAATCGAAATCCAAAATCTCTGTAAAGTTCATTGAAATTTATAAAAAAAATCTATCACTGGACTGATAGGCAACATCATGATAGATGGAGAAAAGATTGAAACTGTCAACAACTTCATCTTACTTGAATCCACAATCAGTACCCTTGGTACCAGCAGTCGGGAAATCGAGAGATGTATTATTGCATTATGAAAGTCTTCAGTTAGGGGCCTCTCCAAATGGTTGAGGAGTAGTGATGTTAGTTTGAGGACTAAAGTGTATCTGATTCAGGCCATGGTCTTTTCAGTCACTTTCTATGCACCTGAAAGCTGGACAGTGAGTAAGGATGCAGGAGAAGAATTGATGCTTTTGAGCTGTGGTATTGGAGAAGATTGCTGAACATCTTATGGATGGCTAAAAGAACAAACAAATATGTCTTGTAAAGGGAGTAGCCATAGTGCTCTTTGAAGGCAAATATGATAAAGCTTTGCCTCATATACTTCAGAAATGTTGCTAAGAAGAGCTATTTCGTAGAGAAAAACATGATGCTCAGAAAGGCAGAGTGTCAGCGAAGGAGAGGAAGACCTTCAACTAGGTGGATTGACACAGCGACTGTTACATTGGGCTCTAGTGTGTCAGGAAGTGTGAAGATGGTGCAGGATAGAGCACAGGTCAGCTGTATTGCTCAGAGAGTCTCTATAGGTTGTAGTCGTACCTAACAACAACATAGCTTTTATCAGATAATCATTTTGCTATTGGAAGATGGACTCTTTTTAGATGGATCCACCAGTTGTAGGATCCATTTGGTTTGTATAGGCCTACCTCAGAGATACTACAGGTTGAACTCTTAAACCAACACAAGAAAGCACATGTAACAATAAAGTGAGTGGCAAACCTTTGGTTTCATTGGGAATATAAATGTTGTTTATGCTATACTGTTTTCAATTAAGCATGAGCTAGTTTTGTGGAGAAGTCTGAAATGTTTCAGGAATGGGTACCAATGGTGGACAGTGTTGGCTGGAGCTTCCCGACTAAAACAAGCCTGGAAACAGGAATGGCATCCACTTCTGAAATGGCTTGCCTCCGGAAACTCTATGTGCACACAGTGGTCAGGCTGTTCGTTCATAGGGTTGCTATGAGTCATCTACGACTCGACGGCACCAAACAACAACAACAATGTAACCATTACAAAGCATGGCAAAGATTGGCAAAGTAGCACATGCTGTTGGAAAAATGGCACCGGTAGAGAGAAACAACACAAAATTGCCACAACTTTCACTTTGTAAAAAATTCACAATTTGTGAAGCACAGTCTATTGTGCAAAGCAAAATAAAATAAGCTTATAGCTGTATTTCCTGGCAATAGATTCTCACCACTGGGTCAATTGGCAGCACCATAATAGGAAACTGAGATTGTTAAAAATTTCAGCTTGCCTGGTTCCACTATCAGCACTCTTGGCACGAGGAGCGAGGATCTCAAAAGGTGAATCAGGAAAATCTGTTGTCAGGGACCTCCCCAGAGTGCTAAAGAACAATGATGTCCATCTAGAAACTAAGATGTACCTGATCTAGGCCATGGTCTTTGCAATTACTTGGTATATATCAGAAAGCTGGACAGTCACTAAGGAGAACAGAAGGATTGATGCCTTTGAGTTGTGCTGGAGAAGAGCGTTTCTACTGGAGAAGATACAAGTTGCTCCTTGAAGACAAGGATTTTGAAGCTCAGTTTCATATACTTTGAGCTTGTGGCCAGGGGGGACCACTCCTTGGAGAATGACATCATGCTCAGAAGGGTGGAGAGGCAGCACAGGAGAGGAAGACCCTGGATGGGATGGATTGACACAGTAATGGGGTCATGTGGTTAGGTGTGTCCGAGACAGTGAGACTGACTCAAAATAGAGCAGAGTTCAGAGCTATTGTGTATGAGTCACAGGCAACAACACATAGCAACAACAAAGCTTTATTTACTGATATTTACACTGATAAAAATCATATCTTAAGACACAGCAGAAGGTAAAGGACGATGAAGATCAATGATGTGAAGGAAATAGATAATTTTTTCTCAATCTTAGTATTGATATTTATGCTATTGTTGTTGTTAGAGGTTATCAAGTTGTCTATGGCTTGTAGTGACCCTGAAAACAACAGATTTCAACCTTAATTTATCCTGCACCATTGTCATGATCTCTGAGGTACTTGAATCCATTGTCACGTTGTGTCAGTCTGTCCAGTTGAGGGTCTTCCTCCTCTTTTTCTCCGGAAATAATTCAACTGTATGTAACATAGATAGTCTGGTGGAATACCTACTCCAAAAGCATTTAGCAAAATTTGTTGTTTTGAAAACACTTCATAGTGTTTGCATTTGGTTAAGGCATCAGACTGTTAATTAAATGTATATTCCTGGGTGAACCAAAGAAGTGTTTATTGGTGGCAATTTATTATGGCTATTATATTCTTTATATATGTTAATAGATTTATTTCATCATCTAAAATTTGCTATTTCATTGTTTTTCCTTAGAACCGATTTCATTATTTAATCAATGTCCACAAGCCCAAGAATATTGCACATTTTATTGCCAGTCCTGTGGTGAAGTCTTAATAAGGGACAGGTAAGAAATACACTTAATTTTGATTAATTCTATACCAAGAAATGACTGATTTTTTTAGCCATAATTTTTAACTTAATTGCCAAGAGAGTAATATAATGCCTTAAAATGAGAAACAGAATCTTCCTCCACCAGACAAGAGGAAAGAAACCTTCCTCACTGTGGTGAAGAGGCAGGAAAATGTGTGACATGCTTTGGGATGGTAGCAGAAGCCATGCCTGAACTGGAGAATTGATGTGAGATGGGACTTTGGGGATGGGGAGCCAATATTGGCAAGTCTGAGAACTTTGTTGGACATTGGGGAAGGGGGAAGCCAATATTGGTAGGACTGAGAACTTGGAAACATTTGGAGCCGTGAGGCTCAAGGCTGAGTTGCCTGTGTGCACATTTTGCGATCTATCTTGACTATTCTGTTATTTTCCCCGATATTTAACCTTTTTACTTCCTCCCAATCCTCTAAAAATGAGAACTGTAAGATTAATGCCACTTTGAACAAAATCAAACACAAAACTCTTCAGCAATCACAGGATACTTAACTTTGCTCATAAAGGAGAGAAGGAAAATGTTGGCTCTGAGGGAGTAAAAGCTTATCTTTCTAGAAGAGCCTGTACTGAGAACTGAAGTGCCACTATGCTGAAAAAGACATGGAATCTATTACATGTATTTTTTTTTCTGTCATGATGAAGGAGATTTTCCACATTAAGTGAATTTTCTGAATAACATACCTTATTTGAATCAACAGTCAATACACTTGGAACTAGCAGTCAGGAGATCAGAAGATGTATTGAACTGGGAAAACCTGTAGTCAGGGACCTCTCTAAATTATTGTTGAACAGTAATATCAGTTTGAGGACTAAGGTGTGCCTGATTCAGACCATGGTCTTTTTAGTCATTTGCTATGCATCTGATAGTTTGACAATGACTAAGAAGAATAATTGAGGGCTGTTGATCTCAAGGGCCACTGTCTCATGGATTCCATTATTCTCTATCACATCATTAAGTTTGGCCTTTTTGCTTTTGAGTTTTGTTTCACCTTTTTTTTTTTTTTAAAAAAAATCTTTCTCTCTCAGACTCTTGTTGAGTTCCTGATCAGAGTGGTTGGTTGGTAGAAGAATCAGCCCCATGTAGTTCTTCTGGTCTCCAGGTAGTGGAGGCTGTGGTTGTATCCATGTCTGTTGCTTTTCTTGTCTTCTCCCCACCTGCTGTTAGTCTTTGTCACAAAATCTGTTCCTTCAATTTTAAGTTTTAATAATTGAAAAGTTGTAATGACCGATCCAAACTTTATTTTAACAATGTTTAAAGGAAAAATTTAGAGTTCTCCATTAGATGAGCTTACCTTGCATCAAACATTTCAGCCTGATTTATCCATAGAACCTTTTCCATTTTTGAAGCCTGCTTGTGTTTGTTATCTTAATAACTTGCTACCTTGCTCCTGTCCTTAAGGCAGAAGTCTGGCATCATATTGGTTTCCTTGCTGCCCATATGTAATTGGGCTTCAGGCACTTTGTCTACATCTTTCTTATCCCTCCATCCTTGGTGCCACTACATTTGTTGATTGCACTGTCTTGTCACCTGATTACACTTGTCATCTTCTTTACCTGCTTACCCTTCGTCTTGTTTTTCCTTTATTCAGTACATTTTCCAAATTACTGAGTAGTTAGTATGAGATTTCATTCTGAAATGCAGCTACCTCTCCTGTTCAGACCCTTCCATGCCTCTTGTTTCTTCCAGGATGAATTCCAGATATCTAGTAGTCCTTCATGAGTTCATTTATCTTTATCTCTCTCTCCACCGGCATCATTTCAAACGTCTTTTCCTAGCCGCATTCTGTGCATGGCTCCCTTGGATGGAGTCTCACAAACACTTCTTCATGCTTTTCCCCACTCAGGCTATTATGAGAGTGGCTTCCTCTTCTGGAGTGTTCAACACATACCTTTATCCTCATCATTAGCGCCTTCTTGAATTTTAGTTCTCAGGAAAAGGGACATCTGCTACTAGGACCCTTTATGTCTATTTTACTTTTAAAGTTCTCTTAGAAGAAGATTGTATCAAATCTCACTTTTCAGAGTTCTACTTTTAGTAGAGCTGAGATTAATGTCTTCTGTTGTAAAATATTTTATATTTTCTCTAGATGTGGCTAACTCTGAGAAGAATGGGAATACCAGAACACTTGACCGTGATAATAGAAAACCTATACTTGGATGAGGAGCATTCATCAGAACAGAGCAAGGAAACACTGCATGGTTCAAAATTGGGAAGGGTGTGCACCAAGGATGTGTCCTGTCTCCATACCTTTTCAATCTGTATTCAGAACAAATCATCCAGGAGGCTGGGCTCAATGAGAATAAATGTGTTATCAAGATTGGAGAAAGAGTCATCAGCAATCTGTGTTATGCAGATGACAACCCTGCTCGCTGAAACTGAGGAGGACCTGAAGTGCTTGCTGCAGAAGGTTAAGGACTGCCACCTTCAATATGGATTGAGGCTCAGTATCAAGAAAATAGATTCTCACCACTGGGCCACTTTACATTATGATAGATGGTGAAGAGATTAAGATTGTTAACAGCTTAAGTTTGCTTGGCTCCACAATCAACACTCTTGGCACCAGCAACCAGGAAATTAAAAGATGTACTGTATTGGGAAAGTCTGCTGTAAGAGGCCTCTCCAGAGTATTGATGAGCAATGATGGAGACTAAGGTGTGCCTGATACTGGCCATGACTCGACAGCACATAACAACAAAAACAACAACTATATGCCAGAAGTTTTTTCTGCTGTAAAAAATATTTTTAACATTGTAATAATTTGTATATTATGAACTTACTTCCCACTGATATCTTCTTCACATGGTAAAAGATAAGGCTTTATTCTATGGTATGGGATCAAGTTAAATTTAAGTTTTATTTTATGTCATTAGGTGCTATTGAGTTGGCTCCAGTTATAGTAACCTATATACAACAGAGTTGGGAGTTCTAGTGATAAGAAACTGAACTGCAGTTTTTAAGTGGTTCAAATCCACCAGCTCTTCTAAGAAAGATGGACAATCTCCTCCACTGTGACAAACTGCCTCTGAAAACCCACTAGAGGGTCAGCTATGGGTTGGTTCCAACTTGATGGTACACAACAGCAACCTTGCACAACAGAGGAGCACTGGTCCCATATGCAAAGATGACACCTTTCTGATGATTCAGATCCACAAGCCCCTCTGCGCCATTCAAATCCTCAAGCCCATCCTCCATTCAAATCCACAAGCCCATCTGCTCCTCTTTTTGTCCTCCTCTTTGTATGGCAAAAATGCTGTATTTGAAATGCATGCTTTGATGAAAGCTGACTGAGGGTCAGTCGACTCAGTCCAAACAAAGGGGAGAGTAGGGTATTGATCTCTGTTGGCTGGTTGGGAGTAGTCACAGCAGTTTCAAGTGCTTGGGGCCATTTTTAATTTTTTTCAGCACTCCCTTATTTATTCCTGGATTGGGTCATAAAATTGTGTTTAGGGGTAAAACTTAATCAGATTATTCACTATTTCCTGCAACAAAGGGACATTTTTCACATAGGGTCAGAAGGTCAGCAAAAATGGGATTTTTTGGTTTCAACCTTCTATTTAAGATCTTCTAAAAACTACTTCCTGCTGAAATGGGGCAAAGCCAGGGGAGGAATCATATATTGAGGGTGCTCAAGTGGAGTTGGTTGACATTGAAAGCGGGTATAGTTTTCAATTTTGTTGTTTGAAAAATGGAGGAAAATAAAAAGATACATGGTCCAAATAGGAATTCCAGTAGAATTAGGGATAGACCAACTCAAGGATATATCAAAGAAAGTAGCCAGGTGAGTTTTGGTAAGTAATTAAAAAAAAATTAATCACAGCCTCCATGCCTTGCTTTTGATTGTGTTGATATAGTCATTTGGTCATATATCCTTTTAATATTAGTTCCAACCATGCCTGAATTACGGTTGTTATGTACCATCAAGTCACCTGTGGGTCATAGCGATCCTATGTACAACAGCCCTAAATCCTGATCTGTCCTGTGCCAGTTTCACTGTCTCCGATACACCCACCCCCACTACTCCAGTCACTGAATCAATCCACCTCATAGAGGACTTTCTCCTCCTGCACTGTCCCTACACAGTCCCAAGCATAACGTTCCTCTCCAAGGACTGGTCCCTCCTTGCAACATATCCAAAGTATGTCAGATGAAGCTTTAGAATCCTTGCCTCGAAGGAGCAGCCTGGTTTAAGCCTCTCCAGGATGAACCTGTTTGTTTTCCTAGCAGTCCATGATACTCTAAATACTCTTCTCCAGCACCACAGCTCAAAGGCATCAATTCTCCTATTGTCCCTAGTCATTTTCCAGCTCTCTGATGCATAGCAAGTGATGCAGAGATCATGGCCAGTAACAGGTGCGCCTTAGTCTCCATACTGACATCATTGCTCTTCAGTACTTTGGAGAGGTCCCTAACAGCAGACTTTCCCAATGCAATACAGCTTTTAATTTACTGGTTGCTGGTGCCATGAGTGTTGATTGTGGAGCCAAGCAAAGTAAAACTGTGAACAATCTCAATCTCTTCACCATCTATCCTGATGCTGCCAATTGGCCCAGTGGTTAGAATCTTTGTCTTCTTGATGTTAAGCCTCAATCCGTATTGAATGCTGCAGTCCTTGACCTCTGCAGCAAGCACATCAGGTCTCCTCAGTTGTGTCATCTGCATAATGCAGATTGTTAATGAATCTTCCACCAATTCTGATGCCACACTTCTTATATAGCCCAGCTTCCCAGATAATCTGTTCTGCATACAGGTTGAAAAGGTATGGAGATAGGATGCATCCATCCCTGGCGTACGCCCTTCCCAATTTTGAACCATGCAGTGTTCCCTTGCTCTGTTCTGATGACTGCCTCCTGGTCCAAGTATAAGTTTCGCATTAGCACGATCACGTGTTCTGTGATTCCCATTCTTCTCAGGGTCAGCCACAGTTTATTGTGATCCACACAAACACCTTTGCATAATCA